GGGAGTCCAGCGATGTAGCCATTATGCTTACTGCTGGCCCCAGCCCCTTCAAGACAGGTAAAGGCACAAAACTACTCAAAGCAGATTCAGCAGCACCAGAGATCTCCAGGCCCTGCTGGGGTTTAAAGACCACACCCCACTCTGGCTGTTTCTGCCCCTTTCCTTCCCAACTTAACTGAGTGAACTGGGCCCTCCCTTTGCATGCAGCTGCTGGAATTTAGCACGAGTCAAGCCAGGCCCACAACAGGCAGGTAGCAAGTGTCTGCAGAAAGCCCCGACTTCCTGCAGGTGGAGAGCACAGGAAAGCCAAGGCCTGCTTACTTCGCCCAGGAGGGCAGCATCTAGAGGTTTGCCCAGCAGGTTCTCACCCAAGCCCACAAATGCAAGGGTTACCTGAAAGTTCTCAGGCCTGGTCTCCAGTTGGTCGAACCACCTAGCGTGGAGTCAAAGTAAGACCCGTTTCCAGCCCATCCTTAGCCCTTGGCCTGCTCCGTGGAACGGCGGCCTGGAGATGCGTTGCCTTCCGTTGAAGCGCTCCCAAGAACATTGCTCGTGCAGAATTTCATCCCAGGTGTAGAAGAGTTTAGCTGCTCTGGCGTGTTGCATGGGAGAGCCTAGCACTGGTGTCTTCTGGCAGCTACACCAGCGGTGGCATCTGATCAGCCCAGATTGTTGTGTGGGCCTGGGGCATCTCCCAAAGGCCCCGGCTGCTCTGCTAAAGGAGCATCCAGAATGTTCCCTGAGCCAGCACCCTGCCTGCCCAGGGGACTGCCCTGGGAGAGCCCCCTTTGTCCTTCTGGCCTGGTCCTCTCCCCTCCCCTCGTCTGGACAGCTCAGGATGGAGAGCACTTGGAGATGGGGCCCTTACTTGCCGACAGACCCAGAGGTCGGTGAACGGTTTAAAGTTCCTAGTGTGAGCTGGTACCTACTGGAAGGCTTAGGACAGAATGACTTTGGGGGAGTAACTTGCTGGGGCTTGGATTCTTCACCTCTCAAATGGAAAAAAATACTCTCACCTCCTGTTGGTGATGGTGAAGATCAGCACAAGGTCATTAAGCAATGTGTCAGGGCAGAGCTGCCTCGATTCACATAGAAGGACCCTGCAGCCCTGAGGGGCCAGCAGGGTCCTGTCGTGCACATGGGGGCATCCAGGGTGCAGAGGGTGTCCAGGTGCCCCTGAGGATTGGGAAATGATGACGGAGAAGGGCCAGCTCTGCCTGCGGGTGGCAGAACAGGCGCCCTTGAACACCGTGGCGCTTAAGGTACTTGAATTCTGCTTTTATACTCTCCAAAGCTCAGCTTGAGAAGCCAGAGACCTGGGACTGAGGTCCAATTTCAGGTCAGCTGGTGGAGTGGTGGTGAGGGCAACTAGATCCTACATGGCCGACTTCACAGTTCGAGTCCCAGACACACCAGGCCCATGTCGTGTGTGCCCAAGATTCCAAGAGGGGATGAGTGCGGCCATCCCCTCGGAGGATGCCCTCTCCCTGTCCCTCTCCTCTCTTTCTCTCTCTGGCTAGTGCATGCGTTCTGCAACTTAAAAAGCCGGGGCAAGGCTGCTGTTGGGAATTCTCCTTGGAGAATCTCCCCTGGGGGAGGGCCAGAGCCGAGAGTGATCCTCTGCTCAGCATGGAATCTCTCCGAGTTGTTGGGCTGCCCTTCTTGCTTGCCTGCTCGCCTGCCCTAGCTGGGGGAAGAGGCCTGGGACCCGTTTCTGAGGACGGCGGCTTCTTCCAGCGGAGAGTCTCACCCGTTCCTGGAAAGAGAGCGCCTCTGCCTGGCCTGGGTTTGGCTTCGGAGGCGCATGCCCTGGCCTCCTGGGCTGGCATAAAGGACGTGGTTCTCTACGATCTCCTCTGCCCTTTCGTCTCAGCTCCTTTGCGCTGAGTCACCCGGCAGCCCTCTTGTCCCCAACCTGGATGGACCTGGAAAATGCCTTTTCTGTTTAGTGCTTGGCAGCGACACAACACTGCCTGGGTGCTGCTATTTAAAAACCACAGGGAGAGCCCCTGCATGCTGCCACCGGCAGAAGGCAAAGAGGGCGCCGGGCACGCTCAGGCGAGTGGGATGCCCGTGCCCAGCAGGGCAGCCTCGGCCGCAGGCACTCAAGCGGCCTTGGCCCTGGGGGGGCCCATTTTCACGGTGAAGAAATGCTTTCTTATGGGGGGGATGTGAGAGCCTCTTGGGTTCCTGGGACTGTCGGAGTACCCTCACCGTAGAGCACCCCTCTCTTTGTGGTACCCCTGGTCTTTAGCCTCTGAAGAGAGGTCCCAGCTAGAGGTTTTACAGCTTCTCGGCTTCCAGCTGAGCTGTCTCATCTGATGGTGTCTGTCCCCTCTTGTGTTTTGGAGTCACACACCACTGCTTCCATGTCTTTGTGGGTCTTCAGAGAGCTGCATACCCTCAGGGCAGGTCTGAGGCAGCTGACCGCAACTGCAGAGGCTGAGTCCCCTCCTTGTCCCAGACTGCCGGAGGCCCTGCCACAGTACCCTGTGCCCGCTATCTGCTGGTAGCTTTGCCTCCTGGGAGAAAGGGAATCTAGATGGCATTCCACCTTACAGATAAGGAAATGAGGCTCCAGTGAGCATCCGGAACTGATTCGAGGGCAGCTGCTGAGGACAAGGAGGACAGCACTCGGGCTGGGTTGGCCCACACCCGAGTCCAGGCTTGGGTGCCCCCCCTGCATCCAGCCTACCCCAGCAGGACCCCTGCCCATTCTCTGGGCCTTTATTCCCACAGGCCCCTTGACTGCTCTGGTCTTCTCCTTTCCTCCCTTGAGCCTGTCCCCAGACTACCTCAGTGGATGTAGAAGCTCCTTCTTCCCAGCAGCCATCACTCTCTGCATGGCCCCTCCAGAGTCATGAGCCCTTCCCCACTGGTGCTCATTAGCTACCCTGTCTACAGGTACCAGGGCCATGACATATGGCATCTGGGCGATGGTGGCCCTCTCCAGTCCTCAGAGGGAGCCATCATTCTTGGGAAGAGGGCATTCATTTTCCAGAACCTTCGAGTGCCCATCGGTATCAGGGGCCCTGTGAGTCAGCTGTTTGATCCCCACTAGACAGATGAGACTAAGGACCCGAGAGGGGGATGTGAAGAAGGGCTTCATTTTCTCCGCTGAGGGGAGCCCTGCATTGAGGGTACTCTGACCTCCCCTGCCCTGCCCCCACCTGGCAGACTCATGTCCCCTGAGCTCGGGTGCAGGGGTGTGAGCAGCAGGCTGTGCGCTTTCCTCTGGACCCACCTTGATGGCTTCCCCAGGAGCCCGACAGGCCTCTGCTTGGCTCTTGTCCTGTAACTGGGATTTTCCATTGTTGCCCGCCTGCATTGTCTGCCTTGATTGTTTGTGTGGGCTTCTGGGTGCTTAGATAAGAAATGCCTCGGCCTTCCTTAGCCTTCTTTGGCGATCTCTACCAGAAGGATCTGGGAAAAAACACCCTCCTCAGTAAGGCCTGGCCCTTAGGTCACATGGCCTGCAGCACGCTGCTCTTGCTTAAGAATAGAACTGTCTTGGGGGGCGGGGGTTCTGGGATGGGGATAAAAGTTGCCAGGGTCAGTAGGGAAGAATTCCTCTCCTTAAACAGATTTTAACTTGAAAACTTGATGACAGAAGCAGCTGAGTCTCAAAGAGAGAGAGGAAAAAAAACAAGAGACTGATTTCACCTTGGTTTCACCTTGAGACCCAGCAGCATCCCCAGACTCCAGGGGTGCTTTGGGGGCGGGGGGGGGGGGGTGGGGAGCCACATGTCAGGGTGCCTCACCAGGACCTGCCCTCATCTCCCTCTTCTGCAGAATTCCTGGCCACTTCTTTTTCTTAGTCCCAGCCTGGTGGCTTTCGCTGTCTGTGGTTTTGCTGACCAGGGACCTGCTTTCTCAGGAACCTGAAGCACTTCTCATTTCAAATTCTCACCACTCCCTCTGGGGCTGCTGTGTTTTGGGGGACACTTCATCTTCATCTTCGCAGCCTGGTCTCATAAACATTAATCTACAGATACTTCTTATTTCTAGAGAAATGTTTCTTGCTAGGCTAAAAAAGCGATTTTGCTTTTTAGGTAGTTGGAGAAATGAAGCTTTAAATCCTAGCTTTGTCACTCACTTCTCTGGGACTCAGGTTCCGCCGGACAAAAACAGTGCTAATTCCCTTGCGTGCTTGTTGTGAAAATAACAAACAAATCAGGAGCTCAATAAATATTAGTTCTTTTCTGCCCAAAGGGCCCTCTTCCCAAAACACACACCTACACACACACGTACACGTCTACACACGCACATGTGAGTGCTGGTGAGGCTGGCTGTTTTGACTTAAGGACCACGCTGAAAGAGAAGTTGAACGGAGAGGAGGGAGTGCTGGCTTGCTCACCTCCGTGTGCACTGAAGCAATCGTGGGAGGTACTGCCCCGGGGAACTCCCTTTAAAGTCCTTCCTTCAACCGCTCACAGGGAGAGGTGCCTCTTGCCACTGCATCTACAAATACAGGGTGGAATGACACGCCGCAGGTGGGCGATAGTGGCCCTCCCTATTCTCAGAGCGTGCCATTGTTCTTGGGATGAGGGAGGTCGATTTCCAGAGCCCTAGAGTGTCCACCAGTCCAAGGGGTCTGACCAAGCAGCTCTATGCCTCTCAGTAGGCAGATGTGGGAACCGAGCCCTAAGAGGGGCCGTGAAGCAGGGCAGCGTGGGTTCAGCTGCTCTCTGCTGACCATGGGATGAGTGAGCCCTAGATTGAGTGCACTCTCCCTCCCCCTCCTCCCACCCAAACCTATCAGACCCTTGTCCCCAAAGGTCCCCTGAGCATTTGCCTCTTTGTAAAGGGCGAAGCCACCTCCGACTGCGCACAGCAGAGATGGTGGTGGCAAGGTCCTTGAAGCCCACCATGGGTGTCCGTGCCGTGGGCATGGGGCTTCTCTTGTGGGGCCACAGGCACCAACTTATCTCGCTTTGAATTCACCCTAGAAAGCAGTGACTGTCTTTTTAACATAAAGCTTTTCATTTGTTTGTTTCCAGAGCAAATCATGGAGAAAAATAAAAAACATGGTGCACTGGTCTCCCTTTGTCATGTCCTTCAAGAAGAAGTACCCGTGGATCCAGCTGGCAGGACACGCAGGTAGCCGCTCTCCCGGACTTTCTGACAGGGCCATCACTGGGAGGCGCCCAGAGTCTTGGGAGGGGAGGGCCTGGCCCTGGATGCTCCGGGGAGAGAAGCTTCTGGAGCAGATTCTCTCCAAGAGACTTCTAGTGTGGAGTTGCGGCCACGCTCACGAGATGTGGCCTTCGCACTGCCTTGTAAATGGCCCCCGGCAGCTGAGCGCTCCAGAGTCTGTCCGCCCTTCCCTCCTGAGCACTCACTGTCCAGCCTTCCCTCCCTCCGTCCCGTCTCTGTTCCTTTCTCGTCCGATCTCTCTCTCAAGCTTTCCTTCAGTCTTAACTTAATAGATGAAGTCATCCACCTGCATAGCTTTCTCACATCTGTCATCCTCAGCAGAGAGCTGGAGCTAGCGGGTCATTGCGCACCTCGTGTGCCCTTCCTCATGGTCCCAGAGGCTTCATTCATGGAGATGTAACCTCTGCCCCAGAGGGTTTTGTAGCTGGTGGCAGGTCACCCCGTGACCACAGTCTGCAAGTGCCAGGTGCCGGTGACCAGGGAGGGGATCCCTGCACTGGGGGATATTCTCCAGTTTGCCATTGGTGGCCGGGAGGAGGGACATAGGGTGCGAAGCCCCAGAGTCATCTTGCCCACACGTAGGGCCCTTTGGCATGTAGTGTCCTTCAGAGCCATCTCAGTGGACTTGACCTTCTTGCCTTCCTGGGCCTGCAGTTTCTTTTCAGACCAGCCTAGGGTCTGACTTTCCTTTACAACTCCGACCCCAGAATGCATGGGGGAACACCTTTTGTAAATACTTCTCTGTGGATATGGCTTGGAAGAGGACCCAGGCTTCAAACTCTCACTCAGCTCACTTCGTCTCCCACTGTGGCAGTGAATGCTATCCTACCCGGACTATCCTCTACCAAGGCCCAGAGATAGCACCTCCATCTGTCGCCTGAAAGGCAGGAATGGTAATGGGACAGGGTGATAGTAGTAACCCTAAGGAAGGAGTGGCTCACGGTGCCTAGGGCTCTCCACAGCCCTGCTACCCCTCCATCGGAGAGCACTGGCCTTCTCCACCTTCACGTGAAGAGCCTGGGGTCTGGGAGTAGGGATCCGGCCCAGGGTTGCAGTCAGTGAGTGGAGGGATTGGGACTCGAACCCATCCCCTTACAGTGCGTGGTCTACTGGGGGCTGTGACAGGCCTTCAGCAGCCCTGGGGAGACGCAGGCACTGTGGCGGTGGCTGGGTCAGAGCCTGGAGGGTGCCTCTGCGGGCCGTGGCTGGGGGACCCAGGACTTCCCCCGCTTGCTCTGCAGGGAGTTTCAAGGCGGCCGCCAATGGCCGGATCCTAAAGAAGCACTGCGAGTCGGAGCAGCGCTGCCTGGACCGGCTGATGGCCGACGTGCTGAGGCCCTTCGTGCCTGCCTACCATGGGGACGTGGTGAAGGACGGGGAGCGCTACAACCAGATGGACGACCTGCTGGCTGATTTCGACGCACCCTGCGTGATGGACTGCAAGATGGGCATCAGGTGAGCCCGCCTCCTGCAGCACCCCTGCCGGCCTCCCGGGACAGCATTCGGGGCTTCCCAGAGGCCGTCTGTGCAGGGCCGGGCTGTCTGACCGGCTAGGAACGCCCCACCTCCATGTGTTCAGGCAGCACAGGGATTCTGGCTTCGCGTGGATGGCAGCCTCTCTTCTTTAGTGGGGTGTGGTGAGGCAGGAGCCAATAGCTGGGGGAGCCCGGAAAGGGGGCCCCCGGGGGGGCCTA